ATGTGCCTCGATAGACAAAGATTTGATATGTGAAAGGATCCCGTCGGCGATGACACAAGTAACTAAACTTCAAGGGAGCACCCAGCCGATTCGCGCTCATGGCCTTCACCGCCGAACTGGATCTGCGCACAGCCGATGGCGAAGTCGTTTGCGTTGCATACGACGTGGAATAGCTTCGAACTGTCTGGGAGTATCAGTATCGGGGCATATGACAGCCCCTTCGTCACCGAGTTGAACGCAGCTTTGTGCTCTGGCTTCCGCTCCCACGTTATGCCTGCCTTCAGGAGTGACGAGAGTGGCTGGATCAGACCAGCGTAGCTCTTCGTGTACTTGTGAAGGTAGTTTGCCATGTCGATACACTGACGTAACTCAGTCCTGTTCCGAACCGGGATCGGATTGGATCGCGGGTCGCGCGGGGCAACGAGGGTTAGACGACACCCTGAAAGGGCGCTTTTGGCGGTTCCGAACCGGATCGCGATCCTTGGGGTATCAACACTGTGATGAGTATATTTTCCGTTTTGGCGCCAGCTTCATATTTCTTTTTGCGCGCTCCTTCACATGCAGAAGAACACTTTCCTTGCCATGGCACCGCCGAAAACGTGGACGGTGAACGACGAGCTGCTGCAGCGGCGCAAGAAGATCGTGCCCATTCCGACCCGGGAGGTGTACGAATCCTGGTCGTTGGGCCAGCTCAAGCAGGCATGTACGTCGCGCAAGCTCAATGCCGTGAAGAACACGAACAAGGAGGGTCGAGTCGCGCTGCTGGATGCGTACGATACGCACAAGTCGAATACGCAGAATACGGTGCAGCAGCAACGAAGCAATGCGAGACGCGGGCGCGAGGAGGAGGAGAAACGAACCAAGAATTGCATGTTTCGCGTGCTCAACGTGCTCTTCTCGGAGAGCTTCTTCAATGGCTTGCTCACCTCGGGAAACCAGCTCATCCGGAGCGAGTTCGACCAAGGCGGGTCCACATTTTGGGGGATGTTGCGACAGCGTTCAGCGAAGCGGACGTCCTGTACGAAGCCAAGGTCTCCTCCGACGCCATCTTGGACGACATCGATCCGTCGCAGACGGTTGTCCATTCAGGATGCAAGCTCCACAGAATGTGGCGCGAAGTCAGCAGCAATTTTGCGGGGGGCAGAAGCGGGGTCTAAGAAGTCTGGTGAGCATGGAGAAGACTTCTGGAGCTTCTGCGCGGGAAGGGCTGATGTCTTCTACCTGCACAAGTGGTGTGAGCATCGCAGGGCTCGTCGCGAGTTCTGCTCAGCAAATATATACTCCGACAACGAGGACGACTCGCAGAAAGAGGGTGCTAGCCGCGGCAAGAAGGGCAAACGCAAGCGCCGGAACAGTTCACAGGCGGAAATATTGGCTTCGCTAGCGGAGAGCGTCGGTGAGATGGCGGCTGCTAACGAGTCAAGCGAGGCCCAAGAAGCCATATGGAAAGAGCAAGCGTTGCTGGTGCGCGAAAAGCGGATCTCGCGCCGGCTGGAAATGCTGCACACAATTGTGGAACGTACCAACGGCAACATTTTTGAGTTGAAGAAGCACCTTCAAGAGCACAAAGATGACAGCGATGAAGATGAGTTCGATGCTGAGGAGCTGTTGGTCCAGGAGCGCAGCAAGCGTCAAAGACTGATGGATCAAATCGAAGAGCTGGAATATGAGGTGGTCGCTAACGTGCAGCTCCAGCAAATGCTTTAGCGCGTACTTGGACGCCGAAGTTTGAAGCTTTGAATGTGTTCGTTGAGGACTTACCGCAGGATTCGGCCACGGGCGGCGTCATGAAGTTCAACGTCCGTAGCGCTCATGTCTGCCACGCTGATGTCCGCTGGCTGGTACAAGCTTTCTCGTAGCTGGTGATACGCACGCGACACTCGGTCGTGTGCCACCGTTGCATCAGCATCAATTATTTTTTCGTTAATGCAGAAGTTGTGGAACTTCATGCACGTTTTAATCACTTTGCTGACGTTCTTAAAGTCAACCATCAGAGGCTTCTTGAAAATCTGCCACTTGTTCACGAGGAAGCCAAACGACATCTGTTGGCGTCGTTCAGCTTGTTGAAAGCGTGGACGATACACCAACCACCCATCATCTTCTTCATGAAGAAGGTCGGGCTCGAGCGCTGACTTGTACGTTCACGCACATGTCCCGCCTTCTAGGGACTCTCAAAGAAGTCGTTAATCGCTTTCACTAGCTCTTGGGGAAGTGGCAGTTCCTGGTGACGCAGCACTTCGGTCCGGGCACGAGGTCAATATCGTGTTTAACGCTACAGTCCGCCGGCAGCTCGGTGGGAATCTTGTCCGGGAAGACATCGGCATACTCACGAGCAGTGTCGTATACTGGATTGCCCGATTCGCGCAAGGCTTCTCAGGACTGTGTCTCGAATTGTTCCTCTCGGGCTGGCTTGGGATCGGCGCCTTAAGGTCGTGATGGCTCCCCCTCTACTTTGACCGTGTTGACCTTTTATGTCGCTGAGGCTTCCTCGGTGATCAAACACACTTGCTCGATGTCGCCGGCCTTCATGTCTCGCAAGAAGGTCTTCCTGGACAAGCCAGGAAGCCCCGTGATCGCCGTGGCATTGCGAGGCGGGCTCGCGATTTCGACGATTCGGAAGCGGTTTTGAACCCCCTTCCATTCAGCAAAACATCACAAACCATTCAGAGAGTGCCATCGCTTGCTCTGTGTACAACCTGCGTTGTGGCTATTCTATCCACCACTGTGGCGTCTTGTAGTTACCAAGAGGTGCGTGAAAACCTCGCTCACGTGGAAGCCACGTCGACGCTTGACCGATCGGGCCAGCAAGTCAATCTCTGGCTGATATCGCGCAAACCATGGCATGTCCAGGATGCAGTCAAACGCGAAATTCATCTCGATCACCAAGAAATCATCCTTACTGCGGAAGCCGTCGAACTTGTATTGCAACGGTACTTCACGCTGCGCAACGCGGCTAGCTTTACCGCCTGCTAGCTTAACTTCGACTTCACCCGGGTCTTTCGGAATGCGGGCGTTTTGGGTAGTCCCGGCAAAGACGACGCGCGGGAGAAATTATTGGTCGCTCCTGAGTGTAGGTGCGTGCGCAGTGGTCGCCGGGCGCGGCGACATGAAGACTAACGATGATCAATCTCGAGTCGCCCGGTGTAGTTGTGCCATTGTTGTGTGTTTGCAGCACAGGAGGGCTAGAAGGCTGGGCTGCCACCGGAGGGCCCAGGCCTTCATTCCAAATAATAGGGCTCCCCGCACCTGCTGGTCCAGGTTATTTCTTGGCTGGACTACCTGGCAAGGTTCCACATCGACGTGCGGGAGTACAGGAGCAGGGGGCGTACTTTGCTGCGCCGTGACCCCTCTTTGGGCGGCCAAAGCAGATTAGAAGGCGTGCACAACGGTTACCACCCCCGCCGTTCGCTGAGCGCTGTCGATCATCGGACATATCGATGCCATCATCTGCATTGGCTTTTGAGCCGACTCCGTGGCTTCCGGGGACATGGCTTTGGCATACGGTACCGCAACCTCGCGAGGTGCAAAACAAACTTTTCGTCGAGGGAGGAAGGATCAGCTCGCGTCAGGCAGTAGCGAGTCATTCCCTCGCGCATTCCGAACACGAAGACGTGGACTTGTGAAGCCATGTCGATCGGCTTGATCACAATGCACGATACCAGGTGTCGTATCTTCTGGACACAGTCATTCTAGGATATCTTTTCCTGTCGGAGGGCGAAGAACTCTGCGCGCACGCGCGACGCGTCTTGAGGAAGCTCGAATGCGAGCCTCAAGTCATTCTGGAGTGCCTCCAGAGTTGGGAAAGCAGTGTGGTCGACGACCAACTTGCTGAGGGCCTATTCCTTTGCCTTCCCGGATAGCCGGGAGAGCAGGAAGTTGACATTCGCTGACGGCGCCTCAATGAGCTGCGAGACGATAGCGATGTCGGTCTCGCGGAACCATCATTTCTGCGGTAGTCGGTCTTCACCGACTCAAGAATATCCAATTTGACAACGTCATTCTTTGAGTGACGCGAGGGAGTTCACACTCGCCGTTTCACATCGGCGAGCTCGCGTTCCATTAACTCTTTGTCTGCTAGATGCTGCTGGTCAGGTTTCACTGAGCGTAGTAGCGACGCGACGACAGCTTCTCACAACACCGGTGAGGCCGTGGAGAGCCTCCCACCCCACGCGGGTGAGATGAAAAAAGCAGCGTGCTCTAGATGTTGACTCATGTCGAACTTGGTCATTGGAAGGACTACAAAGTGCTACCAGGTGTAACGGGGCTAGAGTTACCGTTACTAGCTTATACTATAGTGTAGAGGAAGCTCGCAATAGTTAGACCGAGTCTTCGGTCTGTGTAAAAATTCAACTCTAATTTATAGTGCGGCTCACCCTGTCCTCGTGTGAACCACTCAAATGCAGGTCGACACCTGATTGGTCAATAAGTGGGTCTGGTACCCCACTATCAATCAATCAGATGATGACACCTCGGCGCACGCTAGCGGTGTGCCACTATGCCTACTTATGTAACAACTGAAAAATATCTGCCTACTTATGTAATTGGAGTTGGGCGCATTCCAGTCATGCTGTTCGATTCTGCTGTGGGGTGGTGGTGATGCATCCTCTCTCTCCCAAGAAATATACTTTTCCTAAAACTGGGAACCATGACCCTTCTCGCTATATCGCTTTCCATTGGCTCTTATAGTACCCTAATTAGCTGAGGTGGAAGTTCGAACGACACGCACGAAATTTATAATATTGCCCGTAGAAGTGAAAACTGGTACATACTTGACATGCAAATAGGTCACATATTTTCCTTAATTTAGTTCATGTGATCAGAAAGTAGCAGATAACACGTTCGTTTGGAGGGTTGTCTACTTTTAGGGAAAGTTATGAAACTAACTTCCGCGAGAAGTCGCTTTATTTGAAAACGATGCTGCCCCCTCAATTGTTCTTCCATCACAAGCTAAATTACCTCACTTCAACAACCAGATTAAATTCTTCTGATTGCCCAATCTACGTGTGCAATGCCTCGACGTAGAGCAAAAGCTACCGCCGTACCTCAAGTCGACACATCTACCCGACGTTCAACTCGTCAAGAGAGCACTCAGTTTTCTCCAATGTCCCGACGAAGCAGCTGGTCTCAGCTGACCAACCAACAAGAACCCAATGCCCAACTGTTGCACGACGATCTTGCCGTGGCGTCTAATAACTCTTTGCCTCGAACGACCTTAGCTCGTGATCGTAGAGCAGGTGCCACACCAGTCATCGGTACGACTGCTATATCGAAATTAGCCGTATCTCCCCATGTGGAGGCAACGCCTAATACGCAGCGATCGCTCTCATTGGCGCAATTAGCGCCCATACCATCCGCCATGCTCAAGACGCACTCAAGTACTGCTGATCCGAATTGCTTTGAGACCTCGGTGGAGGGTAATGACATGCCGAACGTGTAGAGCACTTTGTCAGCAAGTTTAGCGCCTTGCGACCGAAATAATCCCAGAATGTCTATCGCAGAAAACAGGCACACACCTGAGGGGAAATACATGACGAACCAAGATCTGGAAAACCAAAGATAATTTGCATGATCTTTAAAGGGAGCGAGTTCTACAGCAGCTACCCAGTTCTGGAAGTTGCCGTCACGAGCAACTATAACAATTTGAACGCTATTATAGAGTCGACGCTTCATGTGAGCAGCCTCCACACCTGAAATTGCCTATCCGCCACGAAACCAGGCTGGGTCAAGTGCGGCTAATGCCCACAAAAGTTGCCATTTTCGTCGGGTTCCAAGTTGGTGATAGTATCGTGGTTTCGATCAGAAAACGCTGAGAGGTACCAATGCAGATACTCCATCATTTTTCACCTCATAAAAAATTCGCGCAAAACTGCTTCCTTGACCCTATATAGCATGCTTCTACTGTAAACCAGTTTTGAGTCAGACTGGAGCTGTCCTGTCATTGCTGAAGCTGATATGTTGGGGTCGGAAATGATAGCACTGACGTCTGCGCAAGTTGTTGCGCTGAAGGTTTTGCTGTCCCTGTGCACTTAATGTGGGCCAGATTTCCAGTTGTTACATGCCAGTAATTACCTCTAGGTTTGCGGTTTGCGACAGATAGCTCGATGAACCAGGTACATTTTTCTCCACTAGAGCACTCCATACGCTTGAACGTGCCGCCTCTCATCTTACTCACACTTGTACAATTGCCGCGACTCAACGCGTACGCCTTGATGTCACTTACAGCATCTTTTCCAGTGGTCCACGTACGCTTCTTCAATTCTTTCAGCTCATCTATCTCCTTAGCGATGTCACATGCCGCAGAAGTGGCCTCGTGGTCGTTTGCATTGAGCGACATCTTACAGGCACTTGATTGCAATTGCGTCTTGTAGAATACGAATACACGTGGTTGCGTCCAAGATACAGTTAGGTGATGAATAGGTATGGTAAAAGTGAGTCACAGATTGGAATTTTGCCTTACCCTTTCGCGAGCCACTTTAGTGAACTATAATATACAAATCTAGGATAGTCGGTATCAAAAGGAGGCAATTTGCCTCCTTTAAGGCGAGTGATTGACCACCTTCAAATCTTCCAAGTTTGATTTGCTTGATTTTTCTATGCCCAGAACGACCTGTCGTAAACGTACTTAATTATAAAACGATGCATTTTGCCTCCTTTAACATGGATGCATCGTCGTACTTAGTTGAAAACCAGAAAAAG